TGCAACGCTCTGCTTGATATTGGATTTCTCACCACTGGGAGGTCTAGTTCCACGTTGCAGATAATGTTTCAAAGCCCCGCGTCTGAGAAACTTATCATTCTATGGGCATTGATGACCTTCGTGGTGGTAAATATTTACACAAGTATAGTGACCGAAGATACAACCGCGCCACTTGTGTCAGACCCGCCAAGGATGTTTGATAACGTAACGTGAAAGGGGATTTCGACTGTACAGCAGTCCCATTAGCGAAGACAGATACAAATTTATTATTCCACAAGCACTAATGAAGTTTCGATGGGGAATAAGTGAGTTTGATATAAATATTTCAAGGCTGTATATGCTTTGGGTTCGTTCACTGCCGCCAGATCTTCGTGGTGTGGTAGAAATTCTTAGAAAGCATCGCTTGTGCGCCGCTCGGAAAAGTGTGGTTAAAATGAAGGATATTCCGTCATCGTCGTGTAATGGTCTCAATTGGACGTCATTCTATAAAGCTAATCACAACCTGCTCACTCAAGCTGAGCAGGAATTTAAGAATACTGAACTTGGGAGGATGGCGGGACGTCTTGAATGCCTCTCTGATTTCTGAAATTGTGGGAAAATGTGAAAAAACCGCGTTAGTCGCACCATCTCTTTACATAAGACAAAAGAGTTATATGCTCAAGATTTTGGGTGGAACAAGTTCACACTTAAACAGGGAACCGTACATAAAAAGTATTGACACTGCTTTTTCTAGAAGGGTTTACATAAGGATTCAAAAGTGGAGCGCTATAAGTGAAGCATTTAAGTACAAGATTGTTAGACTCGTTGAAGGCGGGTTTTACCGGTTTTGGGAAGATTTTCTAATTCAGGTTCAAACGACTGGGGGAATTTGGAGAAGGGGGGAGGAAACATTTTCCCAGCAGCAACTGAATTCTAACATTCTAACGGTATTCTTCATATTGAGTATTGCTGCATGTCTTTGTGTTATGATATTTCTGGGTGAAGCTGTCTTGGGTCGGAGGAAGATTATTTTAGGGTGGTTAAGAATTTTGTTTCATGGTGTCAAGAATCTTCGTGATATAGGAACAATACATGCCGTTCGAGTTAAATCGATTTTTCAAAACTGTATAAATTAGTATAAAACGACTGTATAAAAAGTAGAATTACCGAGCTACGGATAAGTACCCAGTGACTTTGAAACGGTATTAAACACCTTTGGCAGGTTGAAATATTTAGGTATAGCTTGTTTGTCCGTTTGGTACCACATTGGACACATTTATGTATATCTATTAGGTACGCCAGTAAAAGTAAATGTAAAAATTACCTAACAAACTAGGGGTGAGTTTAAGTAAGAAAAGTGAAATTACGCAGTGTTAAAAATTCTGGTACACAGATTCATAGTCACATCCTCCTACATGGCATTGTTCTGGTAATAACTTTCTACCAGATTTGTATTAGTTTGTTTCTGAGTGGTATATTCTTCGTTGCTACAACATAACCGTTTCACACATTTTTCATCGAGTCAGTAATGATTTATTACCAATTTTCTAAGAGCGTGAGCAGATTTAAGAATATTGATTTTATTTATCGATTTATCAGTAAATTATATATATTATAAGTAAGTTATATACTTATATGAACTTATTTATTACGTGCTACATCTACAGAAGTTCGCACATACATATTTACACACATATTAAGCAATCAATTAAGTAATCAAATCAATTTACTGTTCAATGACGCATAAACAGTTTTCATAGTAGCCATGATCTTCCCATAATACACTTTTCCACAAAATATAGCCGTAATAACCATCTGTTTTACCACTAAAACATTAATCTCAATACTTCCGACGAGTTCAACCCAATCTGTGAAGGGAAGTAGACATACCCCGCCTGGGGTTGAAACGATATAACAGTCTGGATGCGATGTGTACGCAAATTCCGTAATTTGACTGCAATTCATGGAAACTTCTCCATTAGCGATTGGTTCAAGGGCCCTTTGTAGGCATGACATTGCGCTCCACATCCATGTTTGTCCCATTGGGGAAAATTTTGACACATTTCTAACAAATTTGGTGCAATATTTATCCCCCCATCCGGTCGCGTAACCATTTTCCCCGCATGGAATAGACTTCTCAAGACAACGCGAGTAGAATGAACAGTCCCGTTGGTGCGAGAGGCATTTCCTGGAAGTTTGTGTCGAAGTATGAGTTACAGTATTAGCTCTGGGAGCATGAGAAGATGCAGGAAGGGCCGTTTTTCCTGTAATCGTGTAATAGACAATAATTAGACAATAGTTTATATAAATTTATAGAAATTGTATAGAAATTTGTAGAAATTGTATAGAAAGCCAAGACAATACATTTGCGTATTTTACTTATAAGAATTGCTATTTTTAAAGCAAGTATTTTTATTTGCGTACTACTAGACGTGCAATTGTTTGACGAATGGTCATTTCTCCTGATTAGGTAATTTATTTTTACTTCGTTAATACGATTTTTAATGATTCCTCTATCCTCGGATCGTTTGAGGTTCATGATGCAGTGTTCAAGGCCGATAAATATTGCGGCGGCGCAAATTTTGCATGATTTTTCGGCGAAGTTGGCGATTGGCTGGCGGCGCGGCAGTTCGGTATTATGGGGATAGGTAATCATATTTATCGGCGGTGCGTCAAATCCTACCAGCGTCTGGCAACGCGGTGGCGTACAATCGGCGGGTTTGATCTCTGTCATGATGTCGTCAGTTGCGTTATGACCACTAGTTAAGAAATAAAAAATATGATTATACCACACTGATAGCAGGTTAAATAAAATCAAAATGTAACTCCAGACATAAGTAAAAGTTACACACAATAAAATACAATTCGCAATTATGTAGATAAATATGGAATACCTTCTTGTAAAATAATAGTTCTGTCCAATATTCATGATCGATATTAAAGTAAATTCAAAAAGTGAGAAATCCATTATTAATTGTAGTATATAGCTTCTGTCTAAAATGCCCCTCAAGTAAATGCTACGATCATATATATGTCTGTTAAGTACATATGTAAATCAGTTCACTAACTTAATTAAGAATTCAACACGAATGTGTAAGGTTTCCCAAGCAAATTTTTCTTTCGCATCCTTAACAAGGAAATTTCCATAGTATAGCTAAAACGTATTTGGCTTAATTAATGAACGATTGTTTCTGGGATTTCAGAAGTGAAGAAAGATTGAGGAGAGTACCGTATTTACAATATTGTCGTTAAAGGTACAATTATGCGCTTACATCTCTATTTCCTAAATTTATTGTACCCAGTACTGGATGAAACGGTCAAAAAGTTGTGCATCACATAGTGTACCTTCAACGACGATATCTAGCATTTTACGATAGCTAAGGAATGCAAATATATGCATAAATAAATCCCAACTTTTCATATTCCATCGTTTTATTGCTATACATACATCAACCAGGATAAATTTTTTCGCACGATGCAAATGAGGTACAATTAATTAGTTTAACTTAATTACATATCTCACATTTTTCCTACAACCTGTTCATTTAATACGTGTAGGCAATTGTATTTTCATAATGCCAATTAATCTGCATATCATCCAGCTTGATCAACTAGGAAATTTTGTTCTTTGCTTGATGACTAGAATACAAATTGCAGAGAAGTTAACGTTTTAAGAATTTGTGTATTTAATATTTACTGCATAAGTTAAATTATATTGGGAAAGATTTGTTCAATATTTTTCTTCGATTTGAATCAAATTATAAAGAGCCGATTAATTAGTTAAATTATTTTATAAATTAAATTATTGAACTGATGATTTATAATTTTTCTAATTTATTGGTTACATTTATAAGTATGATCATAAATATCTCGGATTAATAAATATGATGTACGTGTCATGTACAGTTTTGTATAAATTTTTCGTAATAAAAAACAAGCAAGCAAAATAAACGTGGTTTAGATGCCACATGAAATTACGGATGTCATACGTAATAAGTTAAGGCAAGGCCCTTTGGCAAGGGGTGGAACTGTCACCACGCAGTCACACGTTCAGTCCACCTGCTGGGAAGCTATTGCTAATCCTACTAGGCTCGGTGTTAGTACGGGGTAGGTATCTCCCACGGCAGGTGTATGGGAATACTATGTCGTGAGCATTTCCACTCTAACTGCGCACTACCTGGCTTATGTGTAAGCATATATCCTTGGGCACTGCTCAACGAGTGTTGGGAGATCCATATAGAGCTCCCTTTCCCTATATGATGAGCTGAACCTCAAGAAAAAGGTTGTATAGAGGCTAGGCGCCGTCACCTGTGGAAAAGCATGCATTTACAACGTGAACAGGCAAGACGATAAAGCATCAGCTTTTAACTTTTAACTTTAACTATAGCTTTTGATTCATGAAGTTGCATTTCGAAATAGCTCTACAAAATATTTTCCGCTTTTGATTCAGTGTTTACATTCAAATGTAGTACTTTTTGTAACCATATGAATTAATTCTATAAAAATTATATCTATCTAATTTTTTAACAATTTAAAAACTATTTCAGGATATCGGTCCGAAAATTCGTTACATGTGGCTGCATCCGCAAATATTTTATTCTTATTTCTGCAAAAAGAATAACCACACAATTATTATTAGCTTACCTCAATGCACAGATTCAAAAAGTTATGACGCGCTATTGGTATATCCTAAAATCCGTACGTTTTGAAAATTAATTTTACAAACGTTTACAAAATAAAAAAATGCCCTTATTCTGACAAAGTTTATGAAAGATTCTATGCTAATCTTGCTTTGCTTTATATTTTTTTAAGTTAGTAAGTTTACAGAATTTACAGACTTAACAATGTTACCATGAACTTTCGTGAATTGAATCAGTATTCCAAATTTACAGAATAAGGACACACGGAACAACGTTATTATGAACTTATCGCTCGAGAATTTGGAAACTTTGCAATTTTCACACATCCGAGTTAATTGAGTAAACATTTATTTAAATATTTATTAACTAACTCACTTGATCATAACCCTGAGTGCCTGCTCCTTTAAGACGTCTCCGTTATACATGTCGGCAAGGCAGTGCAGTTTCGCAGCGTTTTTCATACCCACATTTTCCACGAGGTTTTGTTCGCATGTATTTTTGAGCGAAGGAACATCATACTTTTCCGGGACCTTGAATAGTTCCTCTATCAGTGTGTGACCATCCTCGGCTTTCTCAACCTTCTGGCAGTACAGAAAAAGTAAATATTCCTTCAAAACTGGGGCAGAAATGTCGTCCACAATTATTTTTCTTTCTTTCGCCTCCTTCATGTCGTGTCTAAACATCCTCTCGAAGACGGGGCTTTTACCTCCAAAATTAATAATCGGTAATTATAATTGTACATGTCTGTCCGTCAATGGGGGTATTCATTCATTGACCCTAGCAAAACACCAAGTTCGCAACAAAATAGGCGTAAAAAATAATTTGCAAATTTTCACATCTCGATGGGAAGTTTTTTAGTGCACAATTTTTTTATTTGGTTTCGAATATAGGAAAATTAATTGCAATTTAAATATCGGTCTCGATTGAATTCGCAAATGAATTTTCATGCCAAATTTTTCACAAACTTGTAAGATTTTAGATATATGCTTTCGGACTCGTCGTATAATATGCATATCAAATAATTTTTATGAAATAAAGTTACTTACTACAGAGGAGGAAGCGATGCGCGGGAAGTTCGACATTACCATTGCAAATGAAAGTAACGTCGGACACGTCTCGTGATAAGAACAAATGAATACCCGCCAAAATTTGCATCGTCGTCGCCAACGCGAAGCAGCAGTTTCATGGCGAGGTCTGCATTCGCATAGGGAGTAACTTCTCCACCTGATTAAAATTATGAAAATATATGAATGTACATAGAGGGTATTCATTATTTCTTCGTATCCTTAGTATCATAAAATAGTTTACGAAGATAAAACAAGGGGTCAGGTTTCGTAAAAATCGTAAGCGTAGTAACGCGTTTTTCGATGACAGAATCTTACGACGCTTACAAAATCTCGTAAGCGTCGTAAGTTATTTTACGATACGAAGAATACTAAGGATACGAAGAAATAATGAATATCCTCATAGAAACTTTTATCAATCTCGTAAATATAGTCAGGCAGGTCTTGATTTCTGGGTATTAAAGTCTGAATAAGTTTACAAAAATGTGTAAATAAATTTCCCTAGGAAATATTTGAAAAATTTTCTAAAAGTTTGTAAGTCTCAGAATTTATGGATTTGGCAATGTTAACAATGCCTGTGTGAATTACCTGCTCGTTATACTAAATCTTCCATAATAAAGACAACGTTACGGAGAATTTGTCGCCAAATAATTTGTAAAGTTTGCAAAATTTCACACATCAACGTGAACTGGCTATGCTCATATGCATTCAAATCTGTATTTCATAACTCACCTGATCATAATCCTGAGTGCTTGCTCCTTCAAGACGTCTCCGTTGTACATGTCGCCCAGACAGTACATTTCCGCAGCGTTTTCGACACCCACATCTTGGACGAGACGCCTCTCGCAAAGGTCTTTGAGCGTCGGAACATCATATTTTTCCGCCACCTTGAACAGTTCCTCAATCAAGAGCTGATCTGGCTGACCACCTTCCAACGAGTCAACTCTCCGGCAGTACAAAAAACGCAAAAATTCCGTCAAAATTGGGGCGGAAATGTCTTCGACGATTATTTTCCCTTCTTGTGCCTCCTTCATGTCATGTTTAAACATTCTGTTAAACATGAGGCTTTTACCTGAAAAGTGAATAATATGAATGAGTAATTTGGCAAAATATGTGCCTGTTCGGAAATCGGGGTATTCATTATCGTTAGCAAAGTTTGTAAAAAGTTGGCAAGTTCGCAAAAAAATTGGGGTGAAAAATCAGTTGCGAATTTGCGCATCTCGAAGGTTAGTTTTACTTACCAATTTATTTCTTGCGATGCGAATAAAATTACAAACTGTATAAATTCCGACCTTCAAGAAATTCGCAGATGAATTTTATGCACATTTTTGCAATCTTCGATTATTTTGCTAACGAGCAGGACTCATCGTATAATATTCGTATCGTACTATTTTATTTCTTATGCAATTAAGTAACTTACTGCAGAGAAGGAAGCGATGCGCCGGAAGTTCGACATCTCCATCGCAAACGAACGTGACATCCGACGCCGCTCGTGATAAGAACATCTTATCATTTCCCCCAAAATTTAGATGGTCGTCGCCCACGCGAAGCAGCAGTTTCCTTGCGAGGTCTGCGTTCGCATAGAGAGTAACTTCTCCACCTGATGATTTTGAAAATATTCAATCAGTACAAAATATTTATGTAAATGCATACACTGTTAGAAACCTGGCACAATCAGGCAGGTAGGTATTTATATCTAATTATTAAACGAGCTACCGCTTAGTACTAATTTTTGTTGGCCGGTATAATTTTAATACTTATTGAAATTATACCGGCCAGCAAAAATTTACCGATACCACAAAACTTTAATGCTATACACTCTAAATAACTTCAAGAAAAACCATAACCCGTGGTGGTGTCAAATTGTATTATTTTTTAAATGATTAAGTAGACATTTAATCACCAGCAGAAAATTACCCAAAATCTCCCAAAATGACCATCCAAACAGGCGTGACGTTGTAATTTAAAAAATCAGTACTTTGATGTCAAAAGAATCTGGTTTTCAGATTCATGCATGTAAATGTTGAATTTTATTAAAAAAAGCGATGTCACGTGTGTTCCGTGTATGAGTTTTTGATTTCTTTGGTGACCACCGTGAGTGACCATTTGTCATCCAATTAGACAAATTTTAAGGTACAACCCCAGGTGAAAAATTTAAGGGATTTTATGCATACATTTGGCTAGGTTTTATACATAGAATTGGCTGGATTTTATGCAGAAAAATTTACAACGAAACAATTTGTGCAAAAATGTGCATAATTATGCAGAATTGTGTAAAACCATTCTGCAGAATATACCTGTCAGAAATTTTATGCAGAATCATTCATACTTTTTCTGCACAAACCATTGGTCTGGGCAGTTGTGTCGAATTAAATATGTCAAATTCGACATACGATTTTCACCTGGGACACCACTACTAATATGTACTATTTTCCTAGACCCAAATATTTATCGTTTGGTATTATTTTAATACTAGACTTTTAAGAGTTTTTTAATGCTGTAATACTTAATTGCGTAAGTAAACAATAATTAGTCTCACGTTCGTAGTACACGACCCCATTTTTCAGCCTGACCGAGTCCACTGCATCGTCCCAAGGAGCCTCCGCATTCCAAACGGCGGCGTAGCGGTGGAACAATTTGTCCCCGATGGGCACAGGGTCGATGGTAAAATTCAAGCTGGTGCTGAATACGGGACGAAGTGGGGTGGGCGATGTCGACGAGAACAGCTCCAAAATGCTGCTACGTAACTCGAGCTTCTTGTTCGGTTCGATGGGAAGGTATAAAATCGCGCTCATTTGATCTGGATAAATCGCGAAGCTCCTGGAATTTGGAGATAAGTATGCAAATTTTACTTTTATACATATGTAAATGAGTAGAGGAAGGCCGAGTGTACTGTACAACCCCTTTTCGCCTCGATGTCACCGAATTTCGCATAAAAAATTGGAACCTTATATTTTGGTGAAAGGATCAATATAACGTAGCTATTATTAATTTATATGCAACCACACCCCCTTCAAAAATTGCGGAAGAAAATTGGGAAAAGTGAGAAAATAAATGTACACTCGGTACAAAAAGATTTAGACCCCAAGTTGCATTTGACATTTGACTTCCCCCTTGAATACGAACATTTTGATGCATCAAGAGTTTCAAAATTCGAAAATTGGCGGTTTTTTCACATACACATAAATCGTTAAAAAAATCATGGTAGCGGCCATTTTTAGTCTGACAACCTGATGCCAGATTTTTCTTCATGAGAAGAGCTACATTTTCAGCCTTGGTTGTCCGACTAAAAATGGCCGCTACCATGAGTTTTTTGGGGTCAAAGTTTCTGGGGGAGGCGCTTCATAAGGCAAGAGCCGTAGCAAGGCAGCTTATGCAATAATGACATGTATATAATAAATAGCCAAAAAATTTAAAACTTAAGCTTTTCTGAATATATAATGATAATGTGCACTCAAATTTTTACGCTACAGTGCTTATCAGTGCACTTATCAATTTCTAAGATAAGCAAATTTAGTCTGTCCAAACCGCCCCAAATTTAAAACTTAAGCGTTTCTGAATTTATAATGATACTATGCACTCGAGAATTAACGCTACAGTGCTTATCAGTGTACTTATCAATTTTTAAGATAAGCAAATTTAGTCTGTCCAAACCGCCCCAAATTTAAAACTTACGCGTTTCGGAATTTATAATGATACTATGCGCTCGAAAATTAACGCTACAGTGCTTATCAGTGTACTTATCAATTTTTAAGATAAGCAAATTTAGTCTGTCCAAACCGCCCCAAATTTAAAACTTACGCGTTTCGGAATTTATAATGATACTATGCGCTCGAAAATTAACGCTACAGTGCTTATCAGTGTACTTATCAATTTTTCAGATAAGCACATTAAGCACATTAAGCACATGAATGCATTACATATTACATTAAATGAGATGCTCGTTGGTAAGAAAATGTTCACCATAAAATGTTTGTCAGAGAGAGACAAAGACTGGTGAGTTTCATACGCCCCTTCTGCGAGCGGGTAGTGACACCTGCGAGAATCAGCCTGAATCTCTGTCTCTCTCTGAAAAATGGAATCAGGGAAAGTTGTACACATCCAGTGGAATGCCTCAGTATGCTAATTATTTGAAAAGTGAAGCGTATATGTAGCTATATTACAAAATTATGTATGGCGGAAAATCCAAACCATGAAATACATATGTATTTGTATGCAAATCAAACAGAGAACTGACTTTAAGGTTAGTGACCTTTGCAACGGGGTAAAGTGTTAGCCCTACGAAATTCTAGGAACATTTCTAAGGAAATTTTGTTTAAGAAATTTTACGAAACTTACATTCTCTACAAATGCATGTTTCTTGTTTGTAATGAAAAATTTCTTAAATAATTTGAGTATTTGATGATTCAATTTTCAGTTCAAATCATACGCTACGATAAATTTTTGACAAAAAGTGTTTACTTAAATGGTTACCAGCTCACGTTAAGTGCGTAAACTTACTAACCTTACGTATGTAGCTACAATTGTGACGTGAAATCTCGAGAAGCGTTTTTAATGGGGGTATTCACAATTGTCTAAATACGTATTTATACTTACACCGTCTTACAAAATCTTAAACTTATTTTACGATGCGAAAAATGCGAAGGATCCGAATGAAGTGTGAATATTCTTATTATTTACTGAAAGAACTTACAATGTATGATCCATATCGGAGAGGAATCCCCAGCTGTATTTTAAATTGGAAAAGATAAATCCCGATCTGGTAACTCTATTTATGTTTTCCTGAATCCTGGAGCGCTTCGGGATTTTAAAATTCCAATTGAATTCTTCACATAGCTCGTCCTTGATCTAGAAAAATAATTAATAAAGTTACTCGTTAAAATTAGGGGATTCAAAATTGTCGGATAAATTCATGTTGTGTAAATTAAATTGTGCAGCGTACATAAAATAGTTTACGAAGACAAAACAAGGTTGGTAAAAATTGTGACACGATTTTTTATGAAAAAATTGCATGCGTTTCCAAATTTCGTAACCTTCGTATGTAACTTATTTTACGATACGAAAAAATCATGAATATGTACGCTTGCCTTTGTAATTAATTAAATAAATAAATAAAGATTTGTCCCAACCTGCAGTTCAGAGATTTCGATTTTATCCATGATCTATGTATGTATTGCACAAAATAATGTGTAATAATCTTTCTTCAAATTTTTGAAATTTAGAGTGTAAAGAATTTTAAAATTCTGTGTAATTGCTGAGCAATCAGATGCAAATGTTGTCGATATCACCGTGGGTCAACGAGGACTGAGAGATGTCACAATTTTGTCTTGAAATTTACACCCTTCAACTTTTTTCACCTAATTTTATTTCATATTATGACAGTGTATTCATTTTAACCCTTTGATGTAGATATTTTTAAACATATATCAGCACGTGAATTTGTTAATATTTTTAGGGTCTATTTTTCGCAGCGATTCGATGGATTGGGAAAAATATCGGTATTCTGGAGAGTATTTTTCTGGACAATGCATTGTCTGCATGGTGCCATTGCAATGGCACCATGCAGTAAGAGGTGACGGACTTGAGAAAAGGGTTCCTTCCACATGTGAAGCACAGTATGGGGCATTTTATTAAGAATCCATGTCTGTCGGGTCAGTTCATATGTCTGGATATAATTGTCGAATGTATGTATGTAATAAAAAAATATGGTATGTACATAAATATGTACTATGCTTGTGCGCTGGCTGGAAGTCAAAATTCTAGGAAAAAAATTTTTATATATAGACAGGAAGGATATTTTCATGCTAAAAATATTACTCCATAGTCAAGTTTACAAAAACCCTAATAATTTGGAAAAAATCATATCTGCCTGACGGATCCTATAGTTTGATGAATGTACATATTTCCCTAATATTTCTAAAATCGAGTTTATAACTAAATGAAATTTACGAAAAATTTCTTTATTATGTTGTTAATATGTAAATTTACACGCGTAAAATTCAGAAATAATTATTTTAGAGTATTTACATATGTTATGTACATAAGTAGGTATTTATATATAGATATACCAGAAATATTTATAAGTTATTAAGCTCAAGTTAGATCCAAGTTAACGTCATCAACTTAAAAATACAATAAAACAGTAAATAATATTTTACAGTGTGCGTCGTAATCCTTAATTAGATAAGGTCAAATTACTTGATTCCCATGTAAATATTTCTATTGTGATTTTATCCTCGTTTTATTACAGGGAAAAGTAAATTTAGTCTTTAATCGATGAAGGCTTCTCGGAAATTGTAAAATTATCCCCTACGCACACAATATATAGTAAATGCATAAATACATATGTACATATTTTTAGTTCCCTACCTCACATAAAGTATTTATTATTTGCAAAAACAGAAAGGGGACGCCTTCTTATTTATCTTTGATACACGCGCTTTATCAAGCGATTAATTAAATAAATACGCACAGCATAGAGGCTGTCCATAAATTATGTAATGAAAAAATCGCGATTTTTTAGACCCCCCTCTCCCCTCTTTAACACATGTCGCAAAGGGACGCTCTCATTTAGCCTTAGACCTCTTTGGCCACTCGCATTGCATAATTTATGAATGTCCCCACACTCTTTAATTAGTCGAAATCGACATTTTCCGACATTAAGTTATGAAGAAGTTAGAGAGTAAAATTGTCATAATTGTTTGACCACCACCAAAAAGTAAACGCTCAATTTAAGGTGGAACATTTATTTGCAATGTTAAATCCTTGAACAATGTATCGAACCGAGTTTCTTCCCCGATTAATATTTTTGCTAAAAATTTGCAAAATCTTGTCGTGCTACCCGTTCGAATGGGACCATATCTTGGGTCGATTAATCAAGTGCCCACCTCGTCTGGTCGCCACGTTTAAAATGCAATGCCTCCTCTCCGTCGGTTTTTACACGGCGATCGGTCTCAACATCTGTTTCGGGCCGTTAACCGAATTCGAAAAATTTCTAGGTTTCTGCTTCTTCATGGCGTACCTGGTGACGTCCACGATTCGGTGGAATTACAGCCTGGACAATGGCCCGAGCCAAATTATCCACGCTTTTCTGGACGTCGAGGCCACACTCATGACCAATCTTCCCCATCTGCCGGCTTCCCTGGAGACAAAAGCGGTCCAGCTGTACATCAAATTATGCGACGTTTGCATTCCCGCCTTCCCAGTTCTCGTCTTCATTTTGCTACGGGTTGTTCCATGCACACCGCCCTTCATAGCTTCAATGTTTCCAGGGTGTCAGGATGTGGAAAGTACCATTGCAAACTATCTCGGTCGTCTCGGGGTGAATGTATTTGAGGCCTGGATGTCGGTACACATCATGTACTCCGCCGGAATTGTGGCGTGCTACGTTTTCTTCGTGGGAATCATTTTCATCCTCAACTTTCTCCGGGTGTTGGAAAGGTTTGCTGTTAAAATGAGATTGATATTTTCTACACTCAGCGTACTCATGGAAACTTTCGCATCTCGAAACTTGAGATTAGCAACATAATTTGTGAAGGTTTATGAAATTCGTGAGATTGCATGAAAAAATTACAGGAAAACGGTGGGATTTTTTAGCAAATTTACCCAGAAATTGGGTATGTTCTTACATATTTCTCCAAAGTCACCAGCTAGAGAGATTACAGAAATCCATGGAAACAGTGTCAAAAAGGGGTTTCTAGTATGTAGATTTTCCCGATTGGCGAGATTTGTGAAATCATATTTGTAGAATCCCTTGAGGACTCAAATTTTGCGATCTTTGTAAGTTTGGTAAATGAGTTGAGTTGCGAATTAAGATGTTGTCGTGGGTACGCTCACTATATTATATCATAATTATCATTATGATATAACACAATTTTTTCACAGCCATATCACCTCCCAATTGGACGATCACTACTCCGACTGCATCCATCTCTACCGGGTCGTTCACATCTTGGAGAAGTCACTAAACGCCTACTTGTCGGAGAGGATCCTTCCAGCTATAATGTTTTGCAACCCGGTCATTGAAATATTCGGTCTCTTTGTGTGCATCAGTTTGTCGAAAGATATCCCAATGCCGGGCTTCCTCGTGTTCCCACTGATGACGATTATTACCGGAATCAATAACGTTCTTATTGTCGCCCTCGCTTCAAAGTTCCACAGTTCGTCGGGACACGTGCTGGCCTGTTTGGAAAAGGCGATTCTGTCAAAGAGGTCGAAGCTGATAAGAAGGCAGCTACGAGCTTGTAACGTCCTCAAGATCAAGTTTGGTTCGAACTTTGTCGAGAAAGGGACCCCGCTCGTGTTACAAGATTTTTGCATTGATCAAACCATATCGTTAATACTGCTTAATATGGACGCGAAATAAATAATGTGAATTGTAAATATAAATTTAAAGCTAGCAAATTGTAGCTAACATGGCGTTAGAAAAGTGTAAGGGACTGTCTATAAATTATGTCACGTGAGAGGGGGAAGGGGGGGGGTCCAAAGCTCCAAGAAAATCGTGCATATGTGACTGGTTATTTAATGCGGGGACAGCAATTCGCGATTTTTGTATGACATAATTTATGGATATCCCCTAATCTCCAGGATAACGGGGGTATTAAGAATAGTATTCTTCGAATCGTAAAATAAATTCCGATGGTTAAGAAATTCTTTAAGCATCGTAAGATTTGGTCATCAGAAATCCGGTTACTAAGGTTACGAAGCTTGACCCCTTGTTTTTTCTTGGCAAAGTCTTTTACGATACTAAAGATACAAAAGAATATTGAATACCCTCAATATGAATAATGCTATATACACAATGAGCTAACTCACGCAGGTCTTGTGGCAACACTAATTGCAATGCATATAAGAGGCCGTTCTTAAATTATGTAACCCAAAAATCGCGATTTTCTAGACCCCCTCCCCCCTTTAGCATGTTTTACATACATGGGCACGATATCATTGGAGCTTTAGACCCAACTCGCCGCCGGTGACATAATTTATGAACAACGCTTGCATAAGTATAACCATGCCTCATAATGAAAATATTTCATACAAATAATGCATTTTCATAAATGTTACGAAGACGGCTGATAAAAATAAGTCCAGAAACATTACTAGGAATGCAACACAGATACAGATCTATAAATAAATATGCACGAGAATTGGGCCTTTGGGAGGGAAGGCCCAGCCAAGAAAAATTTTACCCTTTTTAGGCTTCAAATTTCTACATACGTTCACTCACGTAATCTCATACAAATTTACAATAGTTACATGTGCGTATCGCATGGTAAAATTGGAATCAACCCTTGCCCTATAATCTTCCGAATCAGTACCCAAATTCCTCCAGAGTACTTAGATACAAACTCCAGCCACAGCAGCAAATGTGACATGTTGAATTGTGATTCCGTTAGTATTCTGAAATATTAATATAAAAAAGTGAATAAACATTTTCCACATTTCTGTCCAAGAAATTATTATAAGTAGATAATTCAATTCAATTCATTCCTCAAACCGTAGTATTCAAAACTTAAAATATCGGTAAGTCTATCCCAATTATGCAAACTTTCTGGTGATTTACAAAAATAAAAAATAAAAATATTTTTTAAATGTTTAAATTGACATTTCAAATAGGACAAAGTCTACAACAATTTTTCTCGCATGGAATAAAAGTATGGAATTTCATCGGGGACCAAGTGCGCAACAGGAGGCATTAAGTAACCCAATTGTAAGATAAGTAATATAAAGAAACTGTTGAAATTATCAAGCTGCATAAACCAATTACAAATTACGATTAAGGGACCGTCCATAAATTACGTATCGATAGAGGGGCTCCAGAGATATCGTGCCTATGTTACACATGCTAAAGGGATATCCATAAATTATGTCGCGCAAAAATCTCGGATTCCTGGACCCCCTTTAGTATGTGTCACTATATCATTGGCGCCTTCGACCACCCCTCCGCCCTCTCGCGTAAAATAATTTATGAACGGTCCCTAAATGGCTGGACGAGGTCTAGATAATCGTGATTCTTGTGTCACGTTATTTCTGGATCGCCCTAAGTATAAACAGTAAAAATGTTTCTTTTCCTCCAGATTCTGACGGAAATATTAAAGCAGTCCTCCATCCCGTTAAAAACTTGTCGACTCGTTTCCCACTTTTGGAATAAAATGGTTCTCACCCTCCCCAATACGAAACTCGCCCTAAATCTGAAACCTAGGCACCAAAATTTTGGAACCGACCCGGCCCCATTTTTCGAACTCTGTAACACCCTAGACGACCGACTTGCTAAACGGATTAGCGCCAGGACCCCATTTTTCGCCGAGGCGTCCTACTCCTTCGCTGCCAAGATGATCTATCTCTGTGGAAAGTTTAGCCAGCGGGTAGAAAGTTTGGGAATTTTGCTCCATTTTGAAGACTGCTTACCACACATTTCCCAAATTTTTTCAAATTCCTGCCCGAATTTGAAACAATTACGGATCAGGTGCATGTTCGACGGAGAAAATTATGTTCCCAGTCCAGAAATTTTGGCAGCGCCGTTTCCGCGAAAACCAAACTTGACCGTGTTCCGGCTACATTCCGCCGAGCTGGCGGTGTCCCCTGCTCTGACCACTTTTACCCAGCTGGTCGTCGCGGCCGCGCCAAATTTAAAAAAGCTCGTCCTTCCCTGGGGGGTATATCCAGATTTGGAAAATTCAAAATTCCTGGACTCCTTAACCCTAAAGTTGGACCTCGCTCGGTCGCTAGAGGTCGTTCTGAGAGACTATAAACCGTCCGAACTGGCACGTATGCTGGGTCAAGTCGGTGACCACGTGGTCCACCTTGCTTTTTCGTGCTACGGCTCATATAATAAATACAGCAAGCACGAGGACTACGACCTCGTGGATAACTCGACCCGATCAAGAATCCGTTTGCCGGGAAGGATGTTGAAATTACGCACGTTCAAAAACGACATGCTCGACATTATTCAGCATGCCGATCTCTGGAGAGATATCGAAGGAATGCCTGGACTAGAAACGCTCTGGATTGGAAAGATATCTAGAACGGCGACAAGTGTGGATGCCTTTTTGAAAAATCTGTCTGAAAAGGAACGGGTTTTTAGAAAAGTGACGGATTTGAGGATTCAAGAATTGTACGATCCCACGCTTCTTGCCCGATTGAAGACGGCGTTTCCGAACTTGAAGACGTTGGGGTTGGACTCGTTGTACGAAATGGAGGAGGGTGGCATGGAGTTGGGTGTGGTTCTCAAGGCGTGTGTGGGTTGGGGCGGGTTGAAACATTTGCGTGTCCGGCTGCCGACTTATCCTGAACGAATGTGGGATTTCATTAAGGCCTTGTTAGATGGGAGTGAATTGTACAAAGGTGAGGGTTAACTTTTTAAAAGTAACTAATTTTTAAACGTGTCGAAAATGTGCAAATTTCGGGGAGATATGTATCTCTTAAACATTTGTATTGAGTAAATTGGACCCTTTTCTGTATAAGATATGCATACAAATAAAAGGGCTACTTTTAGGATGCGTAAGTTAAAGAGGTATCTCTCCAAAATTCATAATGTCTGCATGTCAAGGGCCGCTCATAAATTATGTAACGGAAAAATCGCGATTTTATTGACCCCCCACCCCCCTGTAACATGTTTAACACAGGCCCCCTCTCGTTTTGCACAATTTATGAACAGCAGCGCCTAGTTCACAGTTTTTTTTAAATGTATCCATCTGCATATTAAATATTATGTATTTTAACTAATACGTTAATTTCTTTTGCGGCTTAACTTCAGGGCTGAAAAGTTTACAAATCAAGGCGCACGGTGGGTATTTTACGAGGCGCGATTTGACGGACGCGGAGATGTATCTATTTAAGGGGCTGCTCGTTGTGATGAAGGAAATTGATCACGTCAACATTCGTGATCTTTATGTAAGTTATAAATACTTAACTATTTATGTAATTACATATGATCAGACGTCGGATATGAATGGCCGATAAAACCTCAAAATATGAATGAAAAATGATCGTAAAAATCTCCAAAAGATGACCATAAAAACGACTTTATTTTTTCAATTTTTGGCTTAATTTTTTGATATATTTTCTTGTGATACTCAATTTTTATCAATAAAACAAGTTCTGGGGTGATTTACTTCATTCCCAATGAATTAAATCACCTGAGGCGAAAGTGAACGTAAATTTCTGAAAGTTTCTCACAATGAATACTTGTGAGAAAACTGAGTTTTTTGTCATTTTCTGTCGATAGGGTTGCCAAATCTTAGAATTTGGCCAAAAATGATAAAATGAACGAAAAAAGCCCGAAATATGATCGGGAATATGAATATGTCCCAAAACCCGAAAATGACAAAGATGAGAAAATATGCTTTGACCTACGTGACCTACTCATGACCGTAAACATTCGTAGAAAGTTTAGCGACTGTAAGTCAATAAATGGAAAAAGTCGTTTTTCATTCATATCCGACGTATGTTAATTACATATGATTTAATTAATTGTGTAACTTGATTAACAGAGCTGGTCAAAAATTTCAAATGTCAAATTACAAATTACAAATTACAATTACAATCATAACATTGCTTCAATTACAATTACAAATTACAAATTACGTAATTGAATTACATTCCAAATTACAATTACATTTGAGATTTTTAAATGAAAATTCATCATTTAATACTGAAATAATTTCAATACTTATTCACTTTTAACAATGTAAATGCCTTTGCATCAAAGTTTCCACATAGAAAAAATAATTTACGACGCAAATTTTGCAAGTAAAAGCATTTATCAGTATGTATATTGTTCAAAGTGAACAAGTTGATATTATTTGAATATTACATAGATTTAAAAATCTCAATTATAATTAGTAATTTGTCTTAAACTACAATTGCATAATTTCAATTTGTAGTATTTACTTATTTTCATGCATAAGGCTCAATGTGTTATACACCCTAGTAATTAATTCTGATGTAATAAAAAAATTCACGACTGCGAAATAATGTTTATTTTAATTCAGAAAATGAAAGGCAGTGAAATTTTCGCATGTGAAATACAGTCAATTGAACAAAAACAGGGATTTTTGGTTGGTTTTAATCACGATAGATGGTGATTTAGTAATTGTAATTGAAGAAGTAATTGAATTACAATTACACCATGTTGAAATGTGCAATTACAAATTACAAATTACAAATTACATTTAGTTCAATTACAAATTACAATTACAATTACATTTCTCGAATGAAGTAATTGAAATTACAAATTACAATTACTAATTTGTAATTTGTAATTGTAATTGTAATTGTCAATTACTAATTTGGCCAGGTCTGTTGATTAATAAGGTGGGAAAGTGTTTTCTAAGTATTTTTGTTGATTTCATTTTCAGTTTGGTGGCGAATCTCTTAAAAATATATTGGACTTTATGGCGTCAAACGGAATTTCCTTGTCGAAATTTAAGGTGTTACAAGGCGGAAGGACGGATAATGTGAACGATTTCGAGTAGATGAGACCTGACGTAGTGACGATTAGCTGAGTTATACCGGATTTTTAAAGTTTTTATATGTAAAAAAATTGCTAATTATTAAAAGCTTATGAATTACTATTTAATTGCACACTATCTGTATGCATTTCTTCAAAAGTTGATGTTACATAAATAAATATTTTACCTGTAACTAAATATTCTATTTTTTATGGTATTATTTTTTATTGTCTAACTTTGTCCCTGGCCCAAGGCAAAACCAGACGAAATTTTAAATTAATAGTGATTTTTGTTGTATAATCTGGTCATTAATTTTTGCATATTGTGTTCATATTTTCTTGAAAGTGTGAACATCAAATATTCACCGTGCCCCGAGATTCTGCCTTAACTAAGCGGTTAAATTAAGATTCCATCAACGTGTGTTAAAAACTCCAGACATTCCTCACATTTCTGTCCAGCAAATTAATTTAATCAACTTAAATTAAAGTCAATTCATTCCTCAAACCGTAATATTCATCCTTCATCCATCACCTTCAAGCATTCGTAAGTGGTCAGAAACATTGGTTATTAAACACAAATACACAAATATTCTAATGAGTAGCATGTGCAAAATAAACATTTTTTAACTTTCATTTAATTTAAATCGGCATTTCAAAACAGGCAAACTTATCAAGCCAACAACGATATTTCTCGAGTTGAATAGAATTATGGAACCTCAACGAGAAAGAAGTGTGCAAGAGGTCGCACTAAACAATCCGATTGTAAGCCAAACCAAATAATAATCCTAAGTAAATAAAACCGTTCAAAATATACAGGTCAAAAATCAATTTTTTCAATCTTCCAGATTTTGACAGAAATTCTGAAACAGAGCTCCGCCCCGTTGAAAAGTTGTCGACTAGTTTCCCACTTTTGGAACGAAATGGTCCTCTCCCTTCGGAACACGAGACTCGCCTTAAACCTGAACACAAAGGATGAAGAGGTTGAAACCTACCCCCTTCCATTCTTGGCCTTTTTCGACCTCTGCTCCAAATTCGACGCCCGACTTGCGAAACGCGTCACTGGCAAGACGTCGAATTGCACCGAGGAAACCTACCCCTTAGCCGGGAAGCTAAGTCATCTCTGTATCAGCTTTAGTGATCGGGTCGAAATTTTGGACATGCGTATCAATTACGAAGATTGTTTAAAATCCATTTCCTTAGTTTTTAGAAATTCTCTCCCGAATTTGAAACAATTACGGATCAGGTTCGCCTTCTTTGACGACAACGAAGAATATGATTATGTTCCCAAGCGAGAAATTTTTGTGACGCCACTTCCAGAAAAGCCAAATTTGACAGTGTTCAACCTCAAGTCAGAAGTGGTGGCGGCGTCGCCGATTTTGACCAGTTTTGCTCAGCTGGTCGTCAACGCGTCGCCTAATTTGAGAGAGGCCACCCTTCCCTGGGGATTCTATCCGGATTTGGAAAGGTCGAAATTTCTGGACACCTTAACCCTCGAACTGGACGACGCTCGAGGACTTGACGTCGCTTTGAAACAGCTTAATCCGTCCGAACTGACACGTATGCTGGATCAAGTCGGCGGTCAACTCCTGCACCTGTCCTTTTCCTATTCCACCTTCCACTACGGAAAGAGTATGACGGAGGACTACCATGTCGTCGATAACTCGACCCCACCCGGATTCCGTTTGCTGAGAAAGATGCCGAAACTGCGAAAGTTCGATAACGAAATGATCGACATTATTCAGCATTCCGATCTCTGGCAAGATATCGGACGAATGCCCGCTCTCAAATCGCTCAGAATTGGAAAAATTTGGAAAGACTCAACTAGTGTGGATACAAGTTTGAAAAATCTCTTTGAAAAACAACACATTTTCACAAACGTGGCGGATTTGAGGATTCACGAGCTGCACGATCCCAGACTTTTGGACGGATTGAAGACGGCGTTTCCTAACTTGCAGAAGTTGTGGTTGGACAACAAGGAGGCCGGGATGGAGTTGGGCGTGGTGCTCAAGGCGTGTGTGGGTTGGGGCGGGCTGAATCATTTGCATATTGGGCTGCCGACTTATGCCAAGAAAATGTGGGATATCGTTAAGGCTTTGTTAGACTGCGCTGAATTGTACAAAGGTGACGGTCAATTGTTTTAACTAACAAATTTTTAAAGCTTGTTTAATTTTTAAAATTTTACCTTCTTAATTGACGTTTGGAAGTATTTTAACTAATAAGTGAATTTATTTTATTCCCACACACAACTTCAGACCTGAAAAGTTTAGAAATCGAGACGCACAGTTGGGATTTGACGTGGCATGATTTAACCGAGACTGAGCTGCATGTTTTTAAGGAGGCGCTGTATTCGATGAAAGGGATGGATCGGGTCGTCATTCGTGATCTTTATGTAAGTCATAAATAATTAGTTGCATGATTTAATTAATTTCTTGATTAAAAGGAAGGAATAGTATTTATTATCTCTGTGTTGATTTCGTTTTCAGTTTGGTGATGAATCCCGGAGAAATATATTGGATGTTATGGCGTCAAACGAAATGCCCATGTGGAAATTTAAAGTGGTGCAAGAGTAGTGAAGCCTCGACGTAAAAACGACTTCCGTGTAGTAACTTTTTACGCCAGATTTGTAAAAGTTCATGTCTAAAAATATTGCTAATAGTAAGTTCAGAATTAATTGCATGTAATTAGAAATTAGTTGTATGTATTTCTAGAAAATTAATAAATAATGACCCACATAAATATTTTAATCCAAGTCAAATTTTAAAGTCAATTTCATTTTACATTTTATTTTCAGACCTGACAACTTTTATGTACAAATTACGCAAAGAAGTTATTAAGCACCTGCTTAATATCAGTAAATACGACGAACTTTTACAATTTCAATGTATCTACAACGTTATAAATTTAATTAAGCAGTAGATTTAAATTTTGCTTTGGGTCTACCACGCGCAGGAAGTTTCTCTTTGTGAACAGTGTCCAAATGGCGAGCAAAATTTGACCGTACTTTGAACCCTCTGCCGCAATGGTTACACACAAAATTTCTCACGTCCGAATGGGACAATTTGTGTTGTTGCAAATCCTCTTTCGTCCAGAAACGGGCGTCACAAAGCTAAAAGCCATGCAAAGAAATATTATTAATATTCAATTCAATTGTCTTTGAACAAAACCGTACATCACACGCTACACTCTTGACTCCAGAATGTTGTAATTTGTGTTTTCTAAGTCCTGCTACTGAAATATATTTTGCCCCACTGGAAATAAAAATAAAACCCTGTCTTTAGAAAAACATCCGAAATTTTAGGAAAGAAAAACTCACCACTGGTCACAAATCAAGGGATCATCGCCATGTTCCGCTATTCTGTGAGATTTTAGGGCCGCTGCGTCGATGAAGGTTTCTCCGCAGGTGGTACATTTTACTTTTTTGATTCGCTTGTGCACCGTGTCCACGTGATTGGTAAGATTGTGCCGGCTGAGAAACGTCTTCTCACACAGGTCACATTTAAGGCGATGAGTCGAGTGGGCTCGAACAATGTGACACTGTCTTGCAGCATTGTCGATAAATGCTTCTTCGCAGTGGTCACATTTGTATGGCTTTTCACCCTTGTGGAAGCGCATGTGTCTGCAAAAAAAGAGCAAGAATATTTAATGAGTGCTTTATCCGAGGAAGTTCATCGAGTTGTTATTTTTGAAAATTTTATTATGCCAGTTTCTATTTTCCATCCGGCCTACTCATCACCACAGCGTATGCGTATCTTGTTGAAAACTTTGGAAATTTCAAATTTCCAAAGTTCGGAAAATTCATGTCGTGAGAGGACTTGCAGAATATGATTTCGCAAAACTATGCTTCTAAATATGTATGTAAATTGTAGAAAAATATGTAATTGGACAATTAATGACACTCTAAATAAAAATGTGTAAAATTAGCTCATGGCTGATTTATAAAAAGCATGGTACAACAATTCTACAAAATGTGTCCAATTTTTAAATAAACTTTACCTATTTGTTGTGTCATCATTTTTTTAAGCAAGAAGTGTGCACATTTTTATTTAGAGTGTAGTTACACATACCTCACTAATGCATGGCGTTGGACGAAAACCATGTCGCAAAGTTCACACGGTGTTTTAGCATGTGACCGGCTGTGTTTGTCCAACAGGTCCTGCTTGGCGAATCTGGTGTCGCACACGGTGCAAACGAGCGGTCTCTCCATCTCGAATTCATGGAGGAGCAAATGTCTCTGAAAATTCGCCTCCAAACTGAAACCCTTCCCACATTTGGCGCAAGTGAAATTCTTCTCGTCAGTTTCATGCTTGACAACCATGTGCCTTTCGAGTTCAGCGACTCGGCGCAATTTTTTCTTGCAGATGACACATTGCCACGGTGGAATTAGAGTTTCATGTTCTTTCTCTTGGTGGGCGTTCCTCTCTCGGAGGTTGATAAAGGTGAAGGAACATTGGGAACAGGGGTATGGATGGGGTCGACGAAAGTGAGGTCTCAAATGCTTTACTTCAGTGCCGCATTTTGTACATTGGTTGGAAACAGGTTCGTTTCCTTCTTCGAGTTCCTCTGTCCAGTCTTCGTCTTTGTCATCGTTGTCGTAGTCGTTTTCAGATTCTTCTTCTTCTTCAGAAGAACTGTCGTCGTCGTCTTTCGGTCGAGAACGAGTGGTTGGTCGTCGTCCGCGTTTTACAGGTTTTTGAACAGTTTGAGGTGGAATTTTCCTCTTTCTGGAAAATTTAGAGGATAATATTTAAATAGAAAGTTTAACGTTGCGAGGATGTCTATTGATTAATTAAATTTAACGACTATTTACCTAGTAGACCGGAGTAGTAGTGGATCAGGTAAAATACAGAAGGATGACGACGACTCGTCCCCGTCGTCAGAACTTGGTGGATCAAAATTTGAATCGTCATTAGTCGTCGTTGTTATGCCATCAATTACCTGCCAATTTTGAGTAGCTTCAGCTTCTGTATCTTGGAAATCTGCACAATTCTCGTCTTGTTCTGTTTTGATCTCCAGCTCGTTATCATTTCCGTCTGATTAAAATAATAAGCAATTAAAAGTTAGGACTTGAAGTAATTATTGAGGGTACAGATATTCATCATTATTCCTTCGCATCGAAAAATACTTTATGAAGAAAACTGGAAAATGAAGGGGTCCACTCTTAGAAATCCATACTTTATATGACGTAAAATATAACTCGATATAACTTCCAAAGTGCCACTACCCCACTTATAGCGAATCGCTCTCTCTCGGCCACAAAGTAAGCCATTTTACCCTGTAACAATATTCACAGGGTAACTGAGCGCCCAATAGGGTAACGACCGTAACCCTAAATCGCGTTGATTATGACTTTACTTTCTTGCTTTGATGACCCCAGGAAAAGTTACTTAAGCGTAGTCGCAGTATTTAGTACTTTAATAATATATTTTATTTCACATTCAACATTGCATTACAAATTACCCTTATTATGAACCACTAGTGAGGATGTTTGTAAACGCTGGACCCTGTTAACTTAAGATAATTTTTTTAATGTTATACTAAAGTTTTAATATTAGTTTTGCACTTAAAACAAAGATATACCAGCTAAGTTCTCACAAATTGTACAATGCATTCCAAAGGCGACCTAAAATGACCTAGAAAACCTGACAATTTTCTCCTGAAATTATTAACAGAGTCTCGTCCGTAATATCGTCATCTGTTTAAATACAATTAAAATAAAAATTAAACGCAATGTAAATTAAATTTATGTATAAATTATGTAAATTATGTGAATTTCTTACCCTTCAGCGTCCCCGTCCAAATTGTTGCAATAACCCCCTCGTTTCCTCCATTATTTGCTTATGAGTTAACTAACTAATTAATTAATTATCAACTTAACTATCAGCACTGACTGGCTGAGCTGCGAGTTGTAATGAGAGCGAGGGAAAAGTCAGCGTCTGGTTTGACCAAGAATATTCTAAATGGGGTTTGCTTACTCTAAATGGTATAATAGCTTACTTTGTGGATTAGAAAATAGTGGTTTTACTCCACATTTGGTGACTTTTGTGATTACTTTGAATGAAGTTGACCATTTTACTTCGAATCAAGCGAGGTTTACTTTAAAGCGCATAACGTTCCATTTTACTTCATGAAAAGATATTGCATTTTCTAAGAGTGTCCAGCTCCATAAAAATTGTAATGACCAGATCTCCTAACCTTATTTTAACATACGAAGGAATAAGGAATACCCTCCCAAATTGTTTAATTACATACATGGTAAACCTGTCGCGAAGGGGAAGAATTGTTCTCGCATTTTTAAAACATTCCCAAATTCCTCGTCCTCATTATTCCCACAAATTTCTTTCTTTGGTTCAGAATTCACAAGGGCTGTCCTCATTACATCCACGTTTTGGGCGATTTGGTCTTCCAGTTTTGAAATTTCTTGTCGAATATCCACAATCTGATGATAATTAAGGGCACATTCATCGCACAATGTGCAAGTTTCGTTTTCATGTTTGATTTCCGGGCAGGGGACGAGAAGTCGGGACAAGGTCGAAATTTCTACTTTTGTCGTCGTCTTGAACTTTGAACTCGTCGGAGGGGTCAAGTCCAGACACAGGATGCAGTATTTTTTTGACATATTGAACCTGGAAAAGTGACAATGTACAAATTAATTAATTTTGTTTATTTGAAAAAAATTTAACTCAAAGTGCAAGGCAAATTAAATATGAAATAATACTAATAGAAAATACCTGCCGTCGCTAATATTGTTCAGAAACTATTTAATACTCATTTTCCATGAGGAGAACATATTTAAAAAAGTAAACAAAAATACTTAACAAAACTTCAGCAGCTGATGACAAAAACGGGTTGTAAAAAAAACTAAAACCCCGTCTCAACATTTGCTCGGAGTGCACAGTGTGGCAGGAACCTTGACAAAACGAATAAATTGTTTTAGGGTTTAATCAATGCCTACAGCGTATACAGCCATAGTATTATGCCAAATGTACACGGATGGTGGCTGCCATTGTTACACTACACCATCATAACCCTCCAGTTCTACGCACCAAATAAATGTTTTCATGCTCTTCGAAAACGTTTAAAATATTTTTGACAATTGGATATGCCTGCATACATGTTCATAATGTCAAATAGGATTTTATTTTGAAAATTAAAATTCATAAAAATTCATTTAACTGCATGATGATGGTCATGCAGTGTATATATGGAGAAAGCTCACACACTTGAACACTGCATAACCATCAAACCTTTCACCGTCATGGCAGCACCCTACCGTGTACATTTTGAGATTTCTCTCCTTGCCTCTATTGTTATATACAACTCTGTGGGTTTAATCGACCTATCCGAGTAGGAAAGCATACAGATCTGGCCTATTTTGGTTTTGAACAGGGGGTGTGGTCAGGAGATAAGTTTTTATCGAATTTTAAAAGATTTTTTTAAGGAAGATTTATTGCGGAATTTTGCGGAATCCTAAAATTTACACGAGTTATGCCCTCTGGCTGCCGAAAAACATGTTTCAGAGGATAATGAGATTTTTGGGGTAAAGTGAGAAACATGCTTTTGATGACGTTGAGGTCAAGAATCTTGACTCAAGATTCGCGCAAATCCACAAAAAATTTTAAAAAAATCACGACATTATCGCGTCGATGCTTTTTTTTGTCCACTTTGACCTCATTTGTTAAAAAACACCCCCTCCCCTCAGGTTCTTCAAAATGCAAAAACGTGCACATTCTGAGGGCGGGTGAAGCCCATGTCATATACTATAGTCTCCACACTGCTTCCGTGGCAACTGGGGATAAGCGAGCCCTTCAAACTTTAACGATTTTCAAAAATTCCGATAAAAACACCTTTATATTATTTTTTTTAAAATTGGAAAGAGAGTACGGACTCATTTCAATTTCAACGAGCAGTAAAGTTTGACATGGGCGTGGTTGTGGGGGAAATTTGAGATTTTTTTAAAGTCAAAATAATTTGTGCGTTTTTTCAAGGTGCTTGGCACACAGTGCGTGCTCGCGGCAACCGGTTAGATTCCATCAACATTCAACATGTGTTAATCAAAAAAGACTGCAAACATTTCCCACGTTTCTTTCTGTCCAAGAAATTAATTTACATTTTTGTACCTAATTGAAAATAAGGCCAATTCATTCCTGAAACCTCAGTATTAATCGACTTCAAACATTTGTAAGACAATATTAGTTAATCCAATTCCAATACAAAATTTCTAATGATTTGAGAAGCATGAAGTTCTAATTTTAAATACTTTGAAATTTCAAAACAGAAAACCTTGGTTCCAAGTCACAAGTTGACAACGATTTTCCTCGCGTCAAGTATGGAATCTCAAGGGAAAATCAATGCTCAACAGATCGCTCTAAATAATCCGATCGTAAGAACAATTATCTTAAAACCGGCGAAGCTTAAAAATATAAATTAAGGTCAAATATTGAAAATGAATTTTTTCATTTTGCAGATTTTATCAGAAATACTAAAACAGAGTTCCGCCCCGCTGAAAAATTGTCGACTTGTTTCCCACTTTTGGAATAAAGTCGTTCTCTCCCTTCCGAACACGAGACTCGTGCTAAACCTTAATAGCAAGGACGAGTATGAAAAGGACCCCTTTCCATTTTTTGAACTCTGTTACACCCTAGATGACCGACTCGCGAAACGGATTAGCGCACACACAGATCCAATTTCCAGGGACGTCACGTACGCCTTCTCCGCCAAGCTGATGCATTTGGGTCTCCGATTTAGCGATCGGATCCAAATATTGGACATGCGCATCTATTTCGAACACGGTTTAAAACCCATTTTCCAAGTTTTGAAAAATTCCTGCCCGAATTTGAAACAATTACGAATCAGGTGTGGATATCGGGTAGACAAGCATGGAGTTATTCCCGACGGAGAAGTGCCGCTTCCCCAGAAACCAAATTTGACCGTGTTCGAGCTCCGTTCCACAACGGGGACGCCATCGCCTACTCTGACCACTTTTACCCAGCTGGTCGTCAACGCCTCGCCAAACTTGAGAAAGGTCACCCTTCCATTGGGTTTCTATCCAGATTTAGAAACCTTAAAATTTATAGATTCTTTGACCCTCGAAGTGGACAGCTTTCGGCAACTGGACGTCGCTCTGACCGACTTTAAACCGTCCGACCTCACCCGCATGGTGGGTCAAGTTGGTGGCCAACTCGTCCACCTGGCTTTTTGTTATTTCTACGCAGATGGAAGATACGGCGCGAGCAATGATCGTGATCTCAATAATTCGACCCAATCTGGATTTCATTTGCCAGAAAAGATGTCGAAACTGCGAACCTTCAAAAACGACATGGTCGACATTGTTCATCATGCTGATCTCTGGGAAGATGTTAAAGGAATGCCGGCTATGGAAATGCTCAAGCTTGGAAAGATATCTAAAAGATCAAAAAGTGTGGATACAATTTTGAAAAATCGGCCTGAAACGGAAAGGATTTCGACAAGCGTTACGGATTTGAGGATTCACGAGTTGCACGACCCTGGGCTTCTGGAGGGATTCAAGACGGCGTTTCCGAACTTGAAGACGTTGTGGGTAGACAACAAGGAGGCCGGGATGAAGTTGGGCGTTGTTCTCAAGGCATGTATGGGTTGGAGCGGGCTGAATCATTTGCATATTCGGCTTCCGACTTATGCCAAGAAAACGTGGGATATCATTAAACCTCTGTTAGATAGCATGGAATTGTACAAAGGTGAGTGTCGAAAATAATAAAGTTCCCAATGGAACTTCCCATGTACTTGACATTTGGAAATGTATTTGTTTTAACTAACATGCTAATTTATTTTATTCCCACGTGCAATCAGAGCTGAAAAGTTTGGAAATCAAGGTGGGGATTTTATGTGGTACGATTTGACAGAGGCTGAGATGTATGTTTTTAAGGATGTGCTTGTTGCGATGAAAGGAATGGAGAAGGTCGTCATTCATGGTCTTCATGTAAGTTAATTACATAACATAACTTCAGTAATAGGATGGAATAGTATTCATATATTTCTGTTTTGATTTCTTTCTCAGTTTGGTGATAAATCTCGAGAAAATATATTGGATGTTCTGTCGTCAAACGGTATGCCCGTGTCGAAATTTAAAATGGTTCACGAGTGATGAACGGATAATCAGCGATTCCGTGTGATTTGATAAGACTTCCATAATTCGTTTAACACCGGATTTAAGTACAAGTTTATATGTCTAAAAAATGTTAATCGTAAATTAAGAATTAATTAATGTATTTCTTGAAAGTTGATAAATAAATGTTTCACGTTGAAATATTACATGAAAATTGAACGCCACATATTTTAATATATTTTAACTATCAACTATATCTGTATGTACTTTCATAACTACTTACAAAGGTGTACTTAAATGGTTTTTGTGGTCAGGCAAAATCTGAAAAAAGTGAAAATGCATGTTCTACACAAGAAAACGAAAGCGGTTTCATTTTACTTTTTAGCCCGAGTCAGGGCTTATGTACCCGTCACGTCCGTCTGTCTGTCTGTCTTGCGATAACTGCCGTAAAACTAATCCGATCGACTTGAGATTTTGCACAAATGTAGTATGGGTCAAATGAGGAGTTAAGTTCGAAGATGGGCGAAATCGGTCAAGTGATTGACCGGTGGGGGTCATAAAGGTGGGTGGGGTATTATGCGCCAAATTTTCAAAATTATAGTAGGAAGCTGAAATTTGGTACAGAGGTTGTTAATGGCTACTAATGAAAGAATATGAATTTAAATATGACAAAATTTCATCTGGAGGACCCTGTTGGGTGACCCATACCGAGTTTTTGAAAACCTCGTATCAAGCTGAAATTTGTTAAATAGGCTGCCAATTGTTATTAATCGAAGCATGTGAATTTAAATTTGAAAAATTAATTTAAATTTTTATATTTTTTGAAATCAATTTGCAATAAAATTTCATGCAAAAAAGTCGGATTAAGTGATAACCACAATTTTGCCTGACTCGGGCTATATCAAGTCTGCACTGTAGGTTTTATTTCTATAGGTATGCAGTTTGACAACTTTTATGTAAATATAAAAAATACATACATTCACGCATCTGTTCATCTACTTAAGAAATAAGTAAATTAGAATTACTTTTAAGATTTATTTTCTCTTAAAATTCAGTAGATTTAATTAAGCAGTAAACCTAAGTTTTCCTCGGGGTTTACTACTTGAAGGAAGTTTCTCCTTGTGAACACGGTTTAAATGACGACGAAACTGTCCGCTTTGCTTAAACGCTCTGCCGCAATGGTTGCACACAAAATTTCTCACGTCCGAATGGGAAAATTCGTGTTTTTGTAACTCCTGTTTCGTCAAGAATCGAGCGTCGCAGAGCTAAAAGCAATTAAAAAGATGTGATTAATATTAATTAATTTTTTAAACAAAAAAAATCAAATTCAAAACCTTACATGACACGTTTCACTCTTAACTCCAGAATGTTTCAGTTTATGCCTTTTAAGTCCTCCTATTGAAATATATTTTGCTCCACTGTAAATAAAAATAAAAACTTTTCTTGATGAAAGAAAACATTAGAAATTTTAGGAAGCTAAAATTTCACTCACCATTCCTCACAGGTCAAGGGATCGTCGCCGTGTTCTTGTATCCTGTGAGATTGTAGGGCCGCAGCATCGATGAAGGTATCTCCGCAGGTGACACATTTTGTTTTCCTGATCCGTTTGTGCACATTGTTCACGTGACTGAGAAGTGCCCAATGGCTGATAAAGGTCTTCTCACACAGGTCACATTTCTGGCGATGATGGACTAGATGGACTCGAACGGTGTGCGACTGTTTTGCAGCCGTGTCGATAAAGGCTTCTTCACAGTGGTCACATTTGAACGGCTTTTCGCCCTTGTGGAGGCGGATGTGTCTGCAAAAAAATAATCAGAACTATTCAGAACAGAATATATTTCATGGACGTGTTTTTTTTTGCAAATTTTATGATCATAATTCCTTAGATGTTTATAAATTGCTAATTACAATACATTTTTTAATGTCCTCTTGAGCATCGCAAATTTGGCAAATTATTTTGCAATATTTTGTTAAATTTGTGTTTGGAAATGACTTGCAAAAATGATTTCAAAAATTTTTATACGCCCAAATATGTACAAACAAATTGTAGAAAATTATGTAGTAGACAATTTATGCAAGTTACCTCTCTAATAGCGGCCTGCTGGCGAAAGTAGCGTCACAAAGTTCACACGGTAGTTTGTCATGTGACCGCTTATGTTTGTCCAATAGGTCCTGCTTGGCGAATCTGGTGTCGCACACGGTGCAAACGAGCGGTCTCTCCGCCTCAAATTCATGGAGCAGCGAATGTCGCTGAAAATTCGCCTCCAAACTGAAACCTTTCCCACATTTGGTGCAAGTGAAATTCTTCTCGTCAGTTTCGTGCTTGATGACCATGTGTTTCTCGAGGTCAATGACGCGACGAAATTTTTTGGCGCAGATGACACATTGCGGGGGTGCCGTGGGGGTTTCATGTTCTCTTTCTTGATGGGTGATCCTCTCTCGGATGGTGACGAAGGTGAAGGAACATTGCGAACATGGGTACGGGTGGGGTCGACGGGAATGCGTGGTCAAGTAGCCTTTTTTGGAGACAATTTTGCCACATTTTGTACATTGATGGGAAGCAGGCTCGTTTCCTTCTTCGAGTTCCTCTGTCCAGTCTTCGTCTCTATCGGTGCAGTCGTTGTTTTCAGATTGTTCATGTTCTGAAGAACTATCATCGTCGTTCTGATGAGAAAAAGTGTTTGGCATTCTACTGCTTTTTGCAGATTTTTGAACAGTGCTGGAAGGAATTGTCCTCTTTCTGGAATTTTCATGATAAAATTTAATTAGAAATTATGAAAGCCTATGAATTTCATTACGAGTTCTATTCATGGCCCTAACTTGGCAAAGAAACTAAGTTCGGAAAAAATTGATTGAAATATTTTCTTGCGAAAAACACCAGTACTTATTTTGCAATTTCTGTTTGCAAAATTATGTTGCGTAATGAATACCCCCAATGAATATTACCTGGTAGACGGGACTAGCAGAGGATCAGGTAAACCAGAGAAGGAGGACGATGCATCCTCCTCGTCGGAACTTGGCGGATCAAATTTTAAGTCGCTATTATTCGTCGCCGTCGTTGTTATGCCATCAATTACGTGCCAATTTCGAACAGCTTCGGTGTCCTGAAAATCTGGACAATTTTCTGGTTCTGTTTTAATTTCCAGCTCGTCGTCATTTTCATCTGAATAGAATAATAATCAATTAAAAGTTCATTTAATTTAAATCATTTGAACAATTATGAATTGTTTAAACAGTTAATACACGGCAAACCTGTCGTGAAGGGGAAGAAATATTGCCGCATTCTTAAAATACTCCCGAATTCTTTGTCCTCATTATTCCAACAAATTTGTTTCTTTTGCTCAGAATTCAAAATTGTTGTCCTCATTACATCAACCTTTTTGGCGATCTGGTCTTCCAATTTTGAAATTTCTTGTCGAATTTCCACCGTTTGGTGAAAATGAATGGAACATTTTTCGCACAATAGGCAGGTTTCGTTCAAGTGTTTGATGTCCAAGCTGGGGACGAGAAGATGGGACAAGGTCGAAATTTCTACTTCTGTCGTCGTTTCGAATTTTGAACTCGTCGGAGGGGTCAAGTCCAGACACAGAATGCAGTATGCTTTCGACATGTTTATTAAGCCTGGAAAAGTGACAAATAGTTTGATTAATTGTATTTTGTATTTTAAATGCAAATTTTGCATTCATGAAAAAAAATCAATCTCCAACGTAAAAACGAATATCAGCTAGAATATTAATTACATAAACTACCTGCGTTCTCCAACATTGTTCGGAAACTGTTTAGTACAAATTTTCCATTAGGAGAAAATATTAAAAATAATATAAAAATACAAACAACAAAATCTCGAGCAGCAGCTGATGAGGTGAACCGACTGAAAAAACTCGTCTCGACATCAAAACAAATCTCACTTTCACTCGGAGTGTGCACATCCGCGAATTACATCAGCAGGCGAGTAAGTATAAGTACAAAGTAAGTAAGCAAGTAAATATTTTTAAAAATTAAACCGTGATTTTGAATTTTGACGAATTGAAATAAATGACAAGTATTACGTAAAATAAATAAAACGTGCTTGATTTCAAAGGTTGCTTTGACATCAAGTATTCTCTGAGGTAGACTTTTGCGAATATTCTTTATTATTTGTATGGTAAATTTTGTGTTTTTTTTAAATTTGCAGTTGGATCTAAGCATAGACGTAGACTATACCTTGCCTATCTAAGTGATAGTAAATTCAGGATTAATTAAGGTGTGGTTAAAAGTTTTGCAAAGTACATACATATTGATTTTTAAAATTTTTAGATTCAGTTATTCTTGAATCGCAAGGCTTAATTGATTTTTTTCGCATTTTATGAGCAGCTTGACCACAAACTAAGACTAAATTTCAATTCTGAATTCATCGCCCCCCATGGCGACGACGACGTCGCCATTCGGGGGAGGAGGAAGGCGATGTTCTCTCTGTTTTTGTCTACTCCCCACCACCCGGGTGGAACAGGCCTACTTGCTGCCCACCTTTCTCCGCCAGCTCGTCGCCCTGGTCGGTTTCGATGTGGTCCTCCCACTCTGCGACGGTTGTCATGGCGACGTCATCTCCGTCATTGACATTCTCCGACAAGTGGACAAACTGCAGAGGGCTTTACGTCGTAACGTGGAGGGTATAAGGGATAAGAAAAAAGTTGCGGGGGGTGGGTCATCCTAATTATTTATTATTTTGTCTAGTTATTTACCTTGCTAATTTTAATTACTGTGCTGAATTTTAGAATTGGTCGGACCGCTTTTGACAGTAGAGGACAACGTCGCCATGCCGACAGAACAAAGTCAAGTTATTGCAGAGTTCGTCGTAGAAAATCCTCCTCAAACGGTCGTGGCGTCGTCACAACCAGTTCTCACTCTGTCCACGGGGGATTATTATTTGGGCTCGGTCCCCTTCACTCCCACGACGACGACGACGACGACGACGCCATATCAAAACCACAATTACCAAGAACCAACCCAACAAAATAATAGCTACCAGCCACCAGATGTCCAAACTGGTCACCAAGATGACGACATGGGTGGCGACGATGCGGAATATTTTCCTCCAAATGACGACAACGAAAGTAGCGATAGTGACAAAGACGAAGTCCCCACTCGTCAAGCAGTCTCCACGCCAACAGCGCCTCCACCACCCGTGACCCCAACTTGCACTGCTCCTCCAAGACGAAACGCAAACGAAAAGAGTCGAAAGATACGAAAATGTCCTGCTCGTTGGACGTTGGAACAGAAAGCGATCATCTTGGCGAAGAGGAGGGCTGCTCAAGTGGAGGTGTTCGGTCCCTTCGAGACCACTCCGAAGGGACGATTGTACTTCGAAGGGGTCGAAATTATTAAGGTAGGAGACTCATATTCCTGCTCGGCCTGCGATTGGAGTGCCGATAACATGGCGATCGTTGACATGGAGAATTGTCCTGGTTGGAAGAAGGCCAAGGCGATTAAGCTCCACGTGCGAGGGGTACATTCACGTAGGTCGATAACTTATTGTCATGAATTTAATTGATAACATGACACCTTATCTTATCACTTATTTCTGGATTTGATTCAGGCTCTTACCGTTGCGACAAGTGTGACAAAAATTTCTCTTGTGCCAGAGCTTTAGAAAAACATTTGCCGACGAAATTCCATGCTGAGAATAATCCCACTACGTGCCCCATTTGCGCCATGACGGTCCCCAAGTTTAAGTTAGATTCGCACCTCTTTTCGCACAAGACTCCGGCGGAGCAGGACGCCGAGCTGGCGGCGAGACCCCGGAAGAAAGGGCGTAAAGGTGAGGTCGAATAAAACACTGGCCACTGCTTTGAAAAATTAACTCTGGGGCAGATAACGAACTTTACAATCTTCGTATGTTTTAAAATTTCTTACAATTAATAACATTTTCTTAAAACTTTGATTTTCATAATTTTAGTAAGTCAAATGGTAGACAAATTGTTTATCGAGTATTGGGAATGTTTATACCTGTATTTAACTAATTGGAACACAAGAATCAAAGTTGTGACTTGAAAATGCGATAACATGCATAGAAATGTGTGACTATCACTATTGTATTTACCATGAAAATTTCTGATTTACATGTCCCCAACCAGTTGCAAATTTACAAACTAAATTAATGATTCTTTCGCAGGTGCCAACAACCAGGAACCAACCGGACAAGAAGAAATAGATCCAAATACCGGACTTAAATTGGCTCGACGCCTCCTCATTCGGCACCCGCGCCCTAAGACGCCATGCGCCATTTGCGGCCGCCCCACCTCTCCCCTCTACATGGCTGCTCACATCTGGTCGCACAAGAGCGAATCGGAAAAAGAAACCGCGCTCAAATTCGGCCTCGCACCGAAACTCCCGCCCAAGCCGACCCTCCCCCTGCCCAAACTGCAGTGTCCAATCTGCTCAAAATTCGTGTGGAAAGATTACCTCTCTGACCACGTGGAGATCCACAAAGCGCCCCAAGACCGCCCCTCCTTTCCCTGCGTGCAGGATGGATGCACCTACGTGGCCAAGAGGAAAGCCATGTTGGCCATGCATGTCAGAGGGGTGCATGAAAAGCACAAACGAACTTGGCAGTTTTGCACGGGTGAGATATTTTGAAGGGTAAAAGTGAGGAGAAAGTTTTATGTGAAGTTTTATGTAGATTTTTTGCGTAAAAAAACCTATGTAAAATGTATATAAATACCTGGGTTGGCCAAAATACTATTTGAAATACAAATTACAAAATACAAAATACTATTTTGTATTTTGTATTTTGAGGGCCATGGTTCAGATGAAAGTATTTTGTATTTTGAAGCTTGCCGGGTATTTTGTATTTTGTATTTTCTAATTTTTCGGTCAGTCATTGTATTTTAAATACAAAAATACTTTACAAAATACATTTGGCAAATATGACACGAGCGCATGAGAAGAACAAGAGTTGGTCCATGAGATATCTATTGCAAACCAATACTTACGGTTTCAGCTAAATAGGATCTCAGATCTCATCTATTATTTTCAGTTTCTGGACTCATGGCTGTGTCAGAAAACTACATAAAATATGTGATATTTATGCAGATGATTAATTTTTTATTTTTTATTTTCTCTCAAGTGTTATAATGGTTATTAAAACTTATTTTTACTTCCTTTTCGACACTTTGTCGTACGAGAATGTCTTTTTGTAGTGCGAGAAAGATTAAAATTACTTACAATGCGATGACGCCAGCGGTCTCGCTCCGATTTTGACGAAACGACGATAATTATATAGCCTTAGATAAATAATTAAACACGTGTTTCAGGATTTTTCATAATACTCACCTTAAACGAAATTATGACGAAATCTGTGAGCAAAAATTCCCATTTTCACCGTGACATTTTTCTCCCTCGCGAGAAAAATGCAGATTCTCGCTGACGGATTCCATCATAATTTCGTTTAAACTTAAAATGCTTGGGCATGAAGTATGAAGTATTTTTCTCCGATTTTGACCGGACCAATTTTGTATTGTTCATACAAGGAAATAAGTGGAATCGAATTTATGCATTTTTCTGAATGCGTGCATTTTCGGTTCTGGCAGAATTTTCAAATAAAATTTCAGCCAAAATCAGGATTTTTAAAAATGCTGTTAATTTTTCAATCTTTACCCGATTTCAAAAATGAAAGTCCATTTTTCCACATAACTACATTGCGTAATTTTAGAAACATATTTTTCAGAAACTTTTAATTTTTCAAAACTTTCAAAATTTTTCAAAATTTGTAAATTTATATAAGCAATTTCAAATAAAAAACACTTCATGCCCACGCCTTTTAAGCTTAAATGAATTTAGGATGGAATTCGTAAGCGAGAATCTGTATTTTTCTCCCTTGCGAGAAAAATGTCACGGTGAAAATGGAAATTCTCGCTCACGGATTTCGTCATAATTTCGTTTAAGGTGAGTATTATGAAAAATCCTGAAACACGTGTTTAATTATTTATCCAAGGCTACATAATTATCGTCGTTTCGTCAAAATCGGAGCGAGACCGCTGGCGTCATCGCATTGTTAGATTGAAATTATGTAGGGCTTATAATCTTCGTATCATTTTTCAGATAACAAATGACCTCATACATACTCAGAAAACTAATTACTAGCTTCCAAATAATGCTGTGAAATAAAATGAGTTTGCAAAACTTTTGAAATTTGAGCTTGACTTGCATTTGCAGGGTCAAATCTGGCAGTAGTATTTTGAAATGTATTTTAAATACGTATTTTGTATTTTGTTTTTAGATTTCTGCGATTTTGGGAAAAAGTATTTTGTATTTTGTATTTTGACGAGATTCGAGTATTTTGTATTTTGTAATTGTATTTTGAAGGTTCACGACAATGTATTTTCATTTTGTATTTTGTATTTTAAAACCCATGTATTTTGCCCAACCCTGATAAATACATGAATAATTGAGGCAATTCACGCTAACATTGTAAAATCTGTAGAACTGCAAACTTTTACAAATATTTCTAAGGAAAATTAGCTCCCAAATGATTGTAAGTTACTCAGATCAATGGCGTCTCTTTCTTTTATGAAAGTTTGTAAAATTATTTTACAAAAATTGCACAAATTTATAAGTTACCAATGACTGCCTCAATTGTCTCAATGTTTACTTTGCAAAATTACTGCACAGTTTAAGAGGCTGAAAGAACCATGTTGATAAAATTCCTACATTAATTCCTTTGAAAAGTTTACATAACGAATATTTTATTTTTTTAGTGGCCGGTTGCACGGGGAAATTTATGACTCGCAGAGGACTAAAATATCATTTGGACACGAGTCATGGCAACAACCTGAAAAAGACCCCGTGTCCGCTTTGCAATGTAAAGTTTTTCAGGCTGAAAGAGCACACGAAGCGTCACGGGCCGGTGGAGGAGTACACTTTTCTCTGCCCCCACTGCCCCTTCAAGTTTAATAGAGAAAAATGGCTCAAAAAGCATCTGGTCAAGGACCATGGTGAGACGGTGGTATGGAAACCTCGATATGTTAAGAAGACAGTCAGAAAAAAGTACAAGAAGAGGGAAAAGTATGCAATTTTATATAATAATATGCAATTTTATACAATAATATGCAATTTTATACAATATGTATGGGAACTTTGTGATGACTACATTTTTGCCTCAGTGTTTTTTTAGTTTTTCTGTCTGAAAAACAGAACAAACATTTCCACAAGTTTATTGAGTTTATAAAAAAACGTAATTTACAAAACTGCGTGTATTGTTTGACGCATTGAAGCACGAATTTTATAAAGTTTACAAAATTTACTGTAATAATTTTTCCCACGTTCACTAAATGTTACATACATTGTATAGATTAATTTTAATGGGGTTCACAGAATTAGTTTTAGTTTAAAACAATGTAATAAAATTAATTTAATTCCATTTACATTTACAGAAAAACGGAGGGATCGGGTCTCAAAAACGTCCGGATTCCTAAAAAGTTGACGAAAACGACGCCAGTTTTACGCCTTCACCGCCTTCCAGCCCAACTTTTGACAGGGACGGAGATCAAGGTTATTTCAGACCAGGTCGTCAGCCTGGTCGGGAGCAGAGGAGGGTTCGAAATCGTCGTGTTAAGCTCAGACTAACAAATTTTTCATTGTTCATATTTTTTTCCTGATTTTTATTTGCAAGAAAAAGTAACTATGTTGGATTTAATGACCAATTTTTAAATACTAATTTATTTTAATGACAATAAAATATGACGTGATAATTAAGCAGTTACGATTGGGGAGTGAATATATGGCGTACTTACGTTCGACAACGTCTTATTTCGTATCGCAACTCATCTTAAATGACTCATTTAAAATGAGTTACAAATAACTCATACGTAGTTTGATAAATTTAGCAAACTTGCTAGGATCAAAATATTTGTGTCGTGAGGGGATTCGTAAAATAGGTATGCTGACTTCCCAAATCTCACCAATCTACTAAAAATACCTATTTTGATGTTGCTTCCATGGATTTCTGTAATTTCTCTTGATGGTGAGGATGGTGTTGCGAAATAATTTTGCGAAGTAAGAACATGTCCAATCTGTGGGTAAATTTGTGAAAACATCCCATGGTTTTCCAGCAAAATTTATGAGAAATCTCGCAAAACTTCGCAAATTAAGCATAACTTGCAAGATATATATATGCATGTACATATGTATGAAGGATAACGTGAGTATGTACATACGTTCATTGTAGTCTAAAATTATAATTCTAAACGTTTCTAAACATTATTATGCACTACTCTATCGTATTACAATAACAACAATGTAATCAAGTTATTAAAGCACACATCCAACAATACAAAAGATGTCAACCTATTACAAAAGCAGCCATAACCCAAGGTGACCTTTAGCGGGGGGCACGCCTTGAGAAACCTCGGCGTCCACTTATCCAATTTTGAGGTACCCTTAATTTCTCGGAACTTGATCGACTCCAAGTACGGGATGCTCAAGAGACGAAGGATGACGGCGAATCCAAATAAAAATTCCAGCGCGAGAATTCCCATAATCATGACGAGAAGGGTCCTTCCATAACATGACCACGTAGAGGCACATCACCTCCGCCATTATGCAACTTCCAACAAAAAGTGCTATGAATGGTTTCCGAATTACAAAATTAAGCAATTCTGACAGGCTTTGCGCGGCGCGGTATTGAACCGCGACGCTGCTTGGACCGGCTTCAATTAACCTTTATGTGAAACATTTTTATTAGACGGAGTCTATTTGTTTAAATTAAATTATTCTATATGTGGAAACTCGAGGTATATCAGCTTACGCTTTCCGATTTTGACAAAATAAGTGTCAACCGATCGCAAATTTAATAGTATGAAACTTGCAAAAGACACGATCCTCCAATGGACACTCTTGGCAGAGATATTTATTTGCATCCGCCAAGGTGAAAATGAGTAGTGAATTTAGAAAGTGTAAATTTAGTCAAATTTAGGACGCGTTTTCTCCTCTTTGAAATACAAATATCGCTGCCATTCCAAACCTGTGCGTTTGGAGATTGTGCCTTTTGAAAATGCCATATTAGTTAATTGTCGATCGATTCAATCGATTCGATTGATATTTATTTGGTCAAAATCAGAGAGCATAGATACATATGTCAAAATGTCCCTACATACTTACGCTGTTACATATTTTATCCAAATCTCCATGACAAGAACAGGATACAGGATAATGGCCCCAGTCAAAAGACACACGGTTCCAGTGACGCCAGACAAAGTGTAGTATTCCAGAGCAGCAAACACCACTCTGGTAGGCAACGTGATACCTCCATCAGTATCATCCCAAGATTGGCAGGATGACATTGTCATGGTCATAGCGGGTGGCATACAGGGCTTGAAAAGGGCGACCAATGCGTCCAAACTGGCGAGAGAGGGTGGGGTAAATATCGCCCAAATAAACCACACAGATCGCCAGCGTTCCACGGCCACTTGATAACCTGACAAAAGGGATAGGCTTATACAGTGGAATTATTTCTGCGTGTCACATCCTTTACATAACTCCCAGTATGCCCATTTTCGGCGTTATACGGGCTTCACATGTCGAATAAGCTCTGTACATATAACTCGCTCTAATACTTCAAAATATGCAAATGAGATGACTAGCACAAACAATTCCACTGTACGCACCTTCATAAATCTATAGATTACAAATAGTCAGAGCTTGGATATGTATTTATTTGCAACTTTTTCACTTGATCGACCCGGTCAAGTTTTGTGTGCGTGTTCCGTAAGTCTCGTTGATCACATAAAATTTCAAAATATTTTTATACTACATGTGTATTTCTAAGTTTTCAGACATATAAAAATTTATAAATTTTTCAGCCATTATTTGAAGGATATGCAAACATGTATCTTAATCTTAGGTATACATAAATACTTAGTTTCAAAAACACATATTCTGCAAATATTTCCATAACGTGAGACAATCTTTTCTCAAAGAAATTGGATCACACTATCTACATACTTATTCCATATTCAAAAATTAAAATTTTGTGAAAATTATACCTTGTATAGTTTTTTTTATACATATTTTGCATAAATACTTTGACTATTTTTACGTAAATACTTATGAAATACATATTTCACCTATATCTCGTAAATACATATCCGCCCTCTAATTACACCTATTAATAATAAGTATACATACCTCCTTACCTAACTTGCCTGCAAACTCTTCCAAGTCAAAACTTGTCTTAATTAATGCCCCCGTTTCTTCCTGTCTCCAGCCGAATATTATTTTGCACAACGTCACAGCACTAAATCCTGCGACGATGTAGAGCATCATAATCGTTTTCCAAATTTCCGCATTTCCAAACCAAACGTTTACTGCGAACCATTCTAAATATACCGAGATCCGAGCTAGGTCAATAAGAATATTGGCTACGAAGGTAACCAAGTGCACCTTGCTTTTGGAGGCTGGCCTTATTTTACCGTTGATACAGGTCACGGGAAAAGAAAACGTGGCCGACGTGCTGGTTAGCATTAACTCAGGGCCCTTACGAGGGGCTGCCAGGTGGGAGTTTTCCCCAGGGCCGGGCCCCGAAGGGGGCCGGGCCCTGGTGTCCACTACAAAATTTCACGGAAAATTATTTAAACGTTTCGAAGATTTTGAGCAATTTCATAGCGTGCCAATATCGAACAGAAACACACAATAATCATCCTAAAATTAAAACATAGTTACAAAAAAACTCTTTTCGCTTTTGAGTAGCAATAATGATAACCGGAATCTCGAGGGCCACAAAAAAATTTAATTTTCTTAATATTTGCACAGTTGATAGAGGTGGGTTTTGTGAGTGCAACGATACCAATACTTTGCTTCAACTCCGCCCCTTCCCCCGGGGGGAGGGGCCAAAGTCGCAAAAATTGGAAACGGGGCAGCGGATTTCTCCATGATGGATAAAGATATCGAAATGATACTTTCACTAAAAGTTTCCTAATTTTTTTCTCTACAACCCGAATCGAGCATTTATGGAAATTCGAAAAACGAAATTTCGAAATATAACTTGGAAAAATTTTTGATGAAAATTTCAAGTCTCACAACACCCCATAAATGAGGTAGCGTTGGAAAGGCCTCGGCGAGTGGATTAAGAATATATATGCTTTGTGGGGTCTGGGACAACCCCCTGCGAACATAGGGCCAGAAGAATATTTTTGAGTTTCTCCCATTCGTGCTTCCGTGTTAGCTCCCAATCCACTGCTGTGTTAAATTCTGGACTGGACAGACGCAGATTTTCGTACTTTGCCTTCTAAACTTCCAGGGGGTGGTCCCAGACCCCAAAAAGTATATATAATCTAAATCCACTCGCCGAGACCTTTCCAACGATACCCAATTTATGGGGTGTTGTGAGACTTCAAATTTTCATCAACAATTTTTCGTTATTTTATTAAGTTATTTTTCGAAATTTCGTTTTTCCATAAATGCTTGATTCGGGTTGTAGAGAAAAAAATTACGAATCTTTTGGCGCAAGTAGCATCTCGATATCTTTACCCAGCATCTTGAAATCCGCTGCCCCGTTTCCAATTTTTGCGACTTTGTCCCCTCCCCCCGGGAGAAGGGGCGGAGTTGAAGCAAAGTATTGGTATCGTTGCACTCACAAAACCCACCTCTATCAACTATGCAAATATTAAGAAAATTAAATTTTTTTGTGGCCCTCGAGATTCCGGTTTTCATTATTGCTACTCTTTTGTGAGCCTAAAATAATTTATCCTTGATTCTTTCAAATTATTAAAATGGAGAAATTATGGCGTGAAAATTATAAGCCCAATCTATGCATTCTTACTTGGGCTGACCAAGTAAAAAATGCATCATAACCTTTTTTACCTCTCCGAAAACACTAAAAAGCTAGGGCAGGTGTAATCTCCAGAAGGGATCGGGTAGTTGTGTCCACTAAAATTATTGTACGAACAAGTTCGCTAAATATCACAAGTGCTTAATTGCTTCGAAGATTTTGAGCAGCCACATTGGGTTTCAATGTCGAATCTACAAAGGCACCATATGGCATCACATTGTCGATCATAAAAGAACAATAGTTAACAATGGTTATGTACCTACCTTGGAATAAAAGGTAGAATTTAAGCTGAAAATCTGGGGCTCCGGACAAGTGGGTGGCCGACAAACTGTCTCGTCAACATCATATTGATCGACAACCAACTAGTCGCCAATCTCAGCTCGTCGACAAAATATTTGTCTACACGATTTCGGTAGCAATGGGTTCGCCAGGCGTGTTTCTCCCAGATTTTTTTGCAACATGTACAATTTCACACATATTTATATGTATTAAATAAATAACTTTTAGTTCAATTAAAAAACTCGGTCATCGATTTTTTAACTTCAAAATAAATAAAATTATTCCATATCCACATCGAAATCAATTGATTTGCAGTCTTCCTGCATAACGCGTTATTCTGTTATGGGAAATGGAGTTGTTTTAAGTAATTATTTTAAAATTAAAAACGATGGTTTGTTTTTCTTATCGGCCCGAGTTTTGAACTAAAACTTTGTGTACTTGGTAGATGTGCGGAATTGTGCATGTTGCAAAAATCTGGGAGAAACAAGCCCGGCGTATCAATTCTAAGTCCACATACCTTGATAGAAAAATGTTAATTTGGATCAAATATGGTAATATTTTTAATTTATGCGACTGCAATTTTCACTTATCGATGTAATGCTATCTTTTGGTAGAATTTCTGGATAAGTAGTAATAAAATTATACATCTTCCCATGCAAGGATTACTTAAAACTTGTAAGGTTGGTCGACTAATATGTTGTCGACCACTTTAAATTGGAGACCAGTATGACGTGTTCGACGTATACGCTGTTTCGACCAATTTTCTGCCGACCACATATCTGTTTTGTCGACTAATCAGGTTTCGACGAAACGTTTGTCGACCATTCGTCGCTACCCTGAAAATTTTGTGTAAGACCCCATATCACATTATCACAGGGCGAAAACAGGACATGCTTGATTTTGCTAAATTACTAAAGCAGGAAATTGTGCAGTCAAAATGATAAGCCCAACTTCGATTTCGATATTTTTGCTGACCAAATAAAGAAACGTACCGGGTAGATTTTGCATCACCGAAGACATTAAAAAATCTGGAGCTATTGCATCTATTTGTACACAATGCAGGTGCATACCAGGTCCTTCGGTGAAAAGGATAGTTCGAAGAATAAATCAAAATAATTTTTTAAAAATTCTTAAATAGTTCAACTTTACAGCGCGTAAGGTAAAATAACGCAAATTTAGTACCCATGCGGGTTTTGCTGCCCTACATTTTTAAACGAAGTTCAAAGTCTGGGCACTACTATGTCGTCGTTTAACAAAGTTGGAAAAGACCTTATTAAACTAGGACCCTTGGATATCCTGAAAATTCTACATATATACATATTAATGGTCTCACGTGTGCGTATCTAAACTTCGAAATGGCACTGCGGATGTTTCTCAGTCTGCCCATTTCTGTTCCGCCAAATGAGGGGCCATTTTGCAGATGAAAATAATAAATAATTATCTGAGGTCAAAAGAATGATTGAATGCCTTTGATTTCGAAGTGGTGATAAATAATTTCGCCTCCAAAAAAGATTGCAAAATCATAATTCTGTAACGTTGAAGTAAGAAGTGGTTGAAGTCAACACAATCAATATATTGACATGTTGCTAATTCATTTGCTGACTTGCTTACGATAAGAATTGTTTTAAAGATACCTTTTTAGACTCAAAATTTCACGCACAAATGCCAAATAATAAATGGGGCCGGGCCTAAAAAATCCCCAGGGCCGGGCCAGGCAAGTTTGGGCACTGCATTAACTTTACAATTTTTCCGTAGCTGAGAGGACTAAAATACTTTCTAATATTGCTCAATATCTTAGTCCCACGTTGAACTATTGATTTGGGAAACATTTTGGGTAACGATCTTACGTTAACTATGTATATGGTTCTCCGTTTTTTCGTAAAATCTATGTACGAATTTGCGAAAGTTTGAATAATCAGAATTTTTAAAATAACCCCGTTTGGCTAAATAGTTGGTAATTATGCGAGCTTGACAACGTACGAGTGGTTCTACATTGTGGAGTCGAGTTATGACAGAACCGATAAGTATGTATAAAGCCATGCTCGGGGAACGTCCATATATTCCGCCATCAAAAACACGCTGATTTTTAAGACGCCCAGCCACCCTTTCCTTATCCTACTCGTGTTAAGCTTAACACGAATAAAATAGGCGACCCAGAACCACCCACGTATGTATCTTTTCGGTGACATAATATATGTATATACGGACTTTCTACAATTCGAATTATATTAAAAGTTCGACTTATTACATATGCAGGGAAATATTCATTGTGAGGGGTTATAAAATATCGAAGGATATTTGGATCCTTGAGTACAAACATACATACATACATCAACTAAAAGGATTCCGCAAAAATCTTGTATTTAATACTTGAGTGGATTATATTGAATTCCTTTTAAAGACCTGGGCCCCATTTCACCACACCCTACTCTGCACTCCAGATTCCGCACTCCGCACTTTACAAAATTTGTAGAGTGCAGAGTGGGAGCGTTTCACAGTGGCGACCTACTCCGCGAACTTCCGCTCCACAAAAATTAAGGTTTGCGGAGTGAAAATGCGGAGTTCATTCACTCAAATTTCAGAACTTTTTAATTTTCTCAATGTTGTTTCATCCTCTTCTTCTCACACGACTGACACCTTCATAAATTTATTGTTCTATACCCGTGATCGTCCAATCAAGTGATAATATAATCAGTTAATTTAATTACAAAAATATTGGATTGTAGATAATATATTTCACTTCACTTATGGTTGATCAAAAATCATAAAGAGAAATACAAAAAACCAACAGTGCAGACTTGACATAGCCCGAGTCATGCCAAGAGTTATCACTCAATCCGACTTTTTTGCATGAAATTTTATCTGAAATGTGTATCAAAAAATCTAAAAATTTAAATTGATTTTTCAAATTTAAATTCATATTCTTCCATGAGTACCAATTAGCAGCCTATGTGACAAATTTCAGCCTGATACTACGATTTTAAAAAATCGGTATGGGTCACCTAATCGAGTCCTCCAGATGAGAATTTTTCCTATTTTAATTCATATTGTTTCATTAGCATCCATTACCAACTTTTCTACCAAATTTCAGATCGATTTGACGAATTTGAAAAATTGGTATGGGTCACCCCGTAGGGTCCGTCCAGATGAAAATAGGTCCCATTTCAATTCATACTTTTCCATTAGTTGTCAGTAGAAATCCAAACACCAAATTTCAGCTCGATTGAATGAGTTTTAAAAATCGGTATGAATCACCCCCTAGGGTCCCTGTAGACTAAAATTTTACTTTATATTCTTTCATTACACACCATTGTCAATCTCTATGCCAAATTTCAGCTTTCTACAATAATTTTGAAATTTTGGTGCATAATACCCCACCACCCAGATGACCCCCACCAGTCAACCACTTGACCGATTTCGCCCATCTACGAACCTGACTCTTCATTTGCCCCTTTTCTACATTTGTGCAAAATTTCGAGTCGATCGGATTATTCTACGACAGTTATCGCAAGGCAGACAGAC